TCCAGGTATATACAGTATCTCAGCCAGTCCTTAAAAATTAGGAACAGCAATTTGGCTATAACTCAACTAAGTGCTTTTAGAACTCTTGGGTGTCAGCCATCTGATCCTGGTGATTTATTCACATAAAGTTTTTCTAGTCCTTTTTGAGCACTGGTTTCTGTCAGCTGCAAAGGTACATTCAATATAACGCTATCAACATTACTGTTTTGTTTATTATTCCCCTCTTTTTCATTCATATAAACTAAGAAGAATGTATTTAATACAGCTGCCTTATCCCTGTCGCTAGTGACCAACTTCATCTGATCATCTTTTATGGGGCCAATATGTTCTGACCTTGCTTTCTTACTATTAATATATTTGAAAAAAAATATAGGATCTATTTTACTCTCCTCCACAATGTGTCTCTCATAGTCTATTTTAGCTGCCCTGATAGCGGTCTTCTTTCTTATTATTTCTTTCTTATTGCATTCTTGTCGTTTTGAAATGCTGATGTTGACCCTTCGGCCTTATGTTTTTTGTAAAGGACAGTTTTTGCTCATTAATATGCCTTTTTATGTTAGTATTTAGTCACGCAGATTTAAAGTTTGTCATTTCCTATTTGTTGCCCACTGGGATGCACTGCCGAATGCCATTGTCTAAGATGTTGACTGGGACATCACTGTTTGGCCTAGAACTTCTAAACTGGTTGGAGTGGAAGCAGTGAGACCTCTCCCCTTCTGGCAGTGGAGTGATAACCTCCTGGGAAGTAGCCTCTCCTGAACCGCAAAAAAATGCTCTTATTTGTGCGCCTAAAGATACCCTTAAGTGTATAAAGCGTAATGTGCATTTCCAGCTTGTAGCCTCTGGACAACATGCTGCAGATTTAGTTGTCTACAACTTCCATGAAATCCAATAGACTGTCCTTCAAGCGTGTAAGTGGGGGCACCCCTTCAATTTGAACAGAACTCTTAAACTGGAAGTTTGTAGGTAGACATAAAAAGCAGGGAGAAGGAGGAGGCGAGGAAGTTGTGTTACCCCTTTCACTCAATCATGTGTGTCTATGATGTAAGTCTGTGCTGTCGAGCTTTGTAAATGATTTTTGCACCAGAACAGTTACCATGATAAACATGAAAAGGAGTTTGAAAGTCCATCTGCTGGATAGAAATAGAAAGTCTTTAGAAGTAACTACAAAAAAGAAAAAACAGGATGGCGCAAACACCTAGTGTATTACCAGCGATTTATTTGGTATAAAATCCAATAGATGCCAAGTAAATTCTCATAAAAGTGGAGGAAGAAATAGCATTAAAAACACAGGTGAAACTTATGGATATCCATGTCTGGCCCCTTCTGGCAGCGGCATTCTGAACGCTGGGAGTGACAGTTTTTTATTTAGAAGAAGACTATGCGTTTCCTTTAGGTATGAACAAAAACACTTGAAGGCTAATGGAGCAGTTGGAGAATGTAAAGTCAGCTTTTAGATGAGAATAGCAAAGAAAATGAGAGAGTTACTATTTACTAAAATTGTAGCAAATCTTTAACAAAACCACAATGTTTATTTCGAAGCATTTGGAAGGCACGCCTTAATAACATTTAAGAGCATTGTAAATCAACCAAGAATTTAATTTTATAAGTATTAAATTAAGGCTCCACACTTCAAAATGGGGTGCTTGGGATGCTTCCCTTAAGGCTCTATGTACACTGGAATGTTTTTTCCACTGGCAGCAGAAAAATGCTAAACGCGGCAGAAAATGCGCGAACTCATGTTTATGAGCAGCAGTGTGTATGAGGTCTAAAGGAAATCTGCTACCAGTAGAAAAAACACTGACAGGCATAAGTCCCCGGTCACATCAAAGCCGATTTTGAAATCGTGCAACTTACAGTGATGTTGCACGATTTCCAAATCGGGTGACCTGCCGATTTCAGTTGCGATTTGCAAGACATCTTCATGCACTACTTTAGAAATTGTTGTTGCTCCGACCAAGTTGGAACTGCACCGGTATGACTGCTCTAATAGCGTACAATAGGGTGCGACTTGGCATACGATTTGCAAGTTGCAGGGCATGTAAATCGCATGCCACGTCACACCTGATGTGACCAGGGGCTTAATAAGATTGCGTGGGAGAGGGTAAAGAGTAAGCTGTGTTTGACACTACCAGTAAGTATTGGTGCTTTACTTCTCAGAAGAACGCTGGGAGCTTTACAGTGGTGCATCAAAGCTGGTGCAGGTACCTGTCATCAGTTTTTCCTAACACTACTGACAAAACTGCTTGGCAGGCTTAGAACAATGTACTAAGCAGTATGTTTAAGCTCACACAAACAGATACCTTAACCACTTGCTAACCAGCCGCAAGTGTATAATGTAGCTGGGCAGCACCTGCAGGGAAAGTCATGTACATGTATGACATTTTGCCTGCCTGTTCAGGGGTGCCCCCCCCACGATTGTTGTATCCACTGGACACAGCGCAGTGTGGATCCTGGTTCTTGGTGATCATGTGATTGCTACGTGATCACATGATCAGTGTCATCAAAGCTGTTATGAATGTGTTTCCTAGGCTGTGATTGGCCCACAGCTGTCACATGGTACCAGGGCAAATCACAGCAGCCTAAACCATGTGATTACTGTAGCCAATCACAGATCACTAGTAATCACAGCTGTCATGAATAGTTAACCCATTCAAGACAGTGGAAAACTTTCCTCTTACAATGAAGATCACTGAAGCTTTTGGTTTAACATTTTTTTTGTTATCAAGTACGCATTAATATTATTATACAGGATTTATATAGCACCAACTGTTTGCTCAGCGCTTTAGGGTGACAGTACACTTACAATACAATTCAATGCAAAAGGGTTAGGACGGCCCTTCTCAAGACAACTTACAAAGTACAGTTTTTAGGTAGAGGCGGCATAGGCTTTCCTGAAGAGATGAGTTTTTTGGGATTGCTTAAAGATAAAGTGAGAGATAGCCAGACATATTTGGTTACTGAGTTCAAGAGGAAGGGAGAGGCTCTGGAGCAGGGGTGGACTGACCATTTGGAAACTCAGGCACTGCCCGAGGGCCCAGAGTCAGTAGGGGGCTCCACGAGATGCCCCTGGTACCTTTTTCATAGGCTTTTTTGAGTTTGGGGAAGGACACAGGGGCCCCATGATCCCCTATTGCCCGGGGGCCCCATGAGTTGTCAGTCCGCCCCTGCTCTGGAGAAATCCTGGAGTCCGGCATGGAAGGAGGGAAGGAAGCTAGAGGAGTAGGAGGTCTTTGGCGGAGCAGAGTGGATGGTTTGGGGATGGTGATGTAGCTTGTTGCAGAGTTATGGATGGCTTTGTATGGTATTAGTATTCTGAATTTTATTTGCTAAGCAAGTGATATACAGTGGAGGGATTGGCAAAGAATCCAGGAGGACACAGAATGGCTGGTAAGGTTGATAAGCCTTGCAGCAGCATTCAATACAGCTTGAAGGAACGATAGCCTGTGTAAATATAGGAAAGTGGGGAAGACGTTGCAATAACTGAGGGGAGATATTTAGTAGATTATTGTTAAGAAGGGGCAAATTTTGGAAATGTTACAAAGGTTAAGGTGTTTTATAAATTACAATGCATGATATTAATTTTATAGTATACCTTATCCCACAAAATTGGAAAATGATTTTGTGCATCTGAAGATAGGTCAGATGCACTTTCTAGGCAGCATAACCTGGCAAAGCATAAATAAACACATTCATACAGAACAGTGTTTCCCAATCTTATTCCTCAAGTACCCCCAACAGGCCATATTTTGGGAATTTACATTAAAAAAAAATCAGCTGTCATAAATACCAAGCCATTGACACTGCTGTAAAGCACCTATGCAAGGTGAAAAAAATCCTGAAAACATGACCTGTTGGGGGTACTTTAGGACTGCGATTGGGAACCACTGATATAGGATTAGGGTACACAGGTGTTTGTGCTCTGCTGCTGACAAGTTTGTGAAGCATTTTTAAGGATCTGGAATGCAGTGCTTGTATTTGGAATTTGACTGAATTTCTGCATACACTGTTAGGAATGTGAATGCATATGGAATACATTTAAAAAACAAGCCACTTTTCCACGGAAGCAGTCTGTCTGTCTTGCCTCTGAGCCCATGTATACAAATGCTTTAATATACTGGCCAGTTTCAGGTTTCAACTAGTTTTCCATTACAAAACTGAATGAATGGATCAAGGCAACCTGACACTAATAGAGAGCTGCCCATACATGTGGCTATTTGATAAAACAATCAGACTTTTGATTTCATTTTTTAATAATCATAAAAGAATCAAAGACAGTAAAATAGCGATTTTAATCAATTGCAAGAAGAAGATATCGTAATTGTCCCAATTAAATTGGGTGGAGAAATGTGATTACTTTTAAAGACACTGCTGTAGTTTTTCTCTATTTTCAATTCAATCATTCAATGAACTTATTTAAACTGTCAATTTATTGCCCATTTTCAACTGCAAAATCGAGTGAATTCAGGTGATCGATCGAACTTGCGTGCTGACCATTGCTTAGTTTCTGGCAATTACTTGCAATTGTATTTGTAATTACTGTTTGCAGGAAAGTGGTTGATATTGACTAAAAACTGCCTTGTGTGCAGCTCGCTTTACAGTGTAACAGAGAATGTTGGCAGTAGGTTTTCTTGATATGTTTGATCATTTTGAATGGCGAAATTGCCTGAAAGCAGCAGTAGATGGCCAACATTAATGAAATGTGTTATTGCGTGCAAACCTGCATAATGCCTTTTCTTTAACAAGCTTGGCTTTTACTACTATTATTCCCAGACTGCACAATGCAAGGGAATGGAAGATACATTTTGGAGTGCAAGTAAACTTAGTCATAAGTTTGGAAACTTCATTACCTCATTAAAATATTTACATACTGTATTAATGCCAGTCCAATAAAGTCACTATTGTGCAATGATATTCCTGGAATTTGTGCTTACAGTACACATCTTAATACTTCATGACACCCTGTTTAGGGTGGCCATTCAAATCATTTTGCATTTATATTAGGCAGAATGCTTTTCCACCCCTTGTTTAATACCCAATACAAGGTGCAGGAACCAATTGAACTGCACAGTCCAGCCCTTATCCCGACAGACCTCAATCTGATCAAGAAAATGCTTTTTAGCACTGTCGTCACTCTTCCCAACAGTCAGGGAATCCCGAATATACTCAATGTCCTCTTTGCTTGTTAATTGAGGCATGCCTGTCATCAACATCATGGAGAAAAGGATGATCATAAGGTTGGTGTGATGTCGCAGGGCCAAGTAAGCTTTCACACAAACGTCCTAGGAAGAATGTTGGTATAATATCTAATCATTTATGTATAAAAAACACAGAAAAATTTACTGCCAAAGAACCTACGAGGCTGAAAACTCAACAGTAAATCACAAAGCAGTATTGAAAGAAATACATAGTAATATTTAAACTAATGCTGATTACTGTGCTTAGTGTTATAAGGCACATCAGAAGGTAACATATCTCAGCTGAGCCACAATATGAGATGACACCATAGTGGATATAATATGACTGTCATTAGTCTGTACATGCAACACAGTTGTTGCATATATTGATGAAGGGCCTCAACATACAAGCTCTAACTACCACAACACAGTAGGGGATGGAAGCTCAGACTCCATCTAATCTTTTGCGTGCAGACAGTCACCTTTGTGAAAACAGTTACCCCAGCAATTGCACATAATAATTAGAAAATAAAAAATAATCTGCGCTAGGGTAATCTTCAAAAATACAGAATAAAACTGCCACCACACAATTGTGATACCAATTATTACCAAACTCAAAATTCCTTAAGGCAGCGCAAAATTCTCAGATACAAAGTATAAACACACAATTCATACATATAAAGTGCAAAAAGTGCATAAATATGAACCATATACATATAAAAGTGCAAGTGCATGGCAAACTACAAAATAAAATGCAAGTGCTGTGCCAAAAAAAACTTAAGTTCATAAGGTTTCCACCAAATAAACACTGTATGACATGTAAAAGGCCATATATTGACTCGAGGTGTCTCCACACTAAAACCAGTTTTTCGACCACCGTGCACCACCATTAAAGGAGCCTCTTATCAAATGACATGTACTATTAGATTATAAATGGTCAAGAGTACTCAAGCTCATTCTACATCCAATGGCCTACTGGTATAAGCTCTGTCTCCAGTGTGGATCCTTTCCATCCCCATCAGGTGTCACAATAAAAAAAACTGTATAGATCCATCATGAAGTATGTAAAACTAAGCCTTTTTACTATTTCAGAGTCCTATACATACAACGTGATGACATCGGAAGTCACCGACACCTGATGGTGACGGAGAGCATCCATACTGGTGAAGGAGCTTATACCAGGAGGATACTGGGGTGGACCTTTAGATTCTTAATCTAATGGTCCATGCCATTTGGCATGAGGCTTATTTAGTGGTGGTGCAAGCACTGGTGTTACACTTGAAAACAGGTGTGGAGTCGAGGTGACTCAACATATGAAGTGTTACATGTCATACCCAGCATTTATTTGTACATGGTTCATATTTATGTACTTTTTGCACTTTATATCTATGAATTGTGTGTGTTTATACATAGTGTTTGGGGCAAAATGTAATAACTAACAAATTTATTGGTGGAGCTATTTCTCTATCACAGGGTTTTCCAAACTTGTTAAACAAAGGGTCAGTTTATTGTTCTTCAAACTTTACAGAGGCCAGATTATGACCAGTGGGAGTAGAAAAAAAAGTCCTTGTGTCAGTGGGAGTAACAGTGCCTCATCTTTATCTTTATTAGGGGAAGTCACGAACTTACAATAACTCTGGATGCAATCTCAACACATCCATCCAATGTAGCTACCATACTAAAAGATGAACAGACCTTTTGTGGAGCATCCTTTTCATTGCTAATGTCATTTTAATAACTCAATCTAGTAAGTTCACTTTAAGGGCTCATTCACACTATGGTGCAGAGAGCCAGTTTTTTTGCATGCATTCTACAAGGGTACAACAAAATCAATTGTTCTCTATGTACCCTGTTTACACCACAACACAAGTATCATGTGCAGATTTATTTCTGTGCAGGAATCTGCAAAGTGTATAGAACAGTTCCCATTGTTTTTCTGCATGTATGGTGTGAACGAGGGCTAAAAGCAAACAGTAACAATGCTGTCACGTGCCAGGAATGTAACTGTCACATTTGCTTATGCTCTCAACCAACCTATCAAACCATCAAAATCATGGCAGCTGTAGATCAATCAGAGGCTAATATGGCAGCTGCCTTGGCTGAAAATGACAGGAGAATTTAGACAGGATCCACTCTTTTGAAATCCTGGAGGATGGGATAGATTACTAGGGACAAGACAAGCTTGTTCATTTTTGGTAACCTGCATCCCAAAACTAAAACAATATTTTCTTTATTGACAACCCAGAAAAGAGTTTTCTTTTTAACAAAGTATACATTTAGAAACGCAGTTATTTAGTTAAAAAAATCTATATATTTGTATTACTTGCTTTGTATAATACCTGAAATTTATGAAAGTACAAGCTTGACTTCTTCCCCGAGTTGCCCATCACATGAAGAAAATCAGGAGTCAACACGAAAGGTACCCGTTCCTTGTTAATGCCTAGGAAGCTTTTGTAGTTGCCAAGAATGTGTCCAAAGTCAATGTGAAATAGATTGCCTAAAATAAATTAAAACAATATTTACCTATTTATTTATTTTGAATTCCTCCTTAACTTACTGACCGTGAAGTTTCACAGACCAGTGCAGGGTAACCTCCAGCACTGCTGGCATATAATATTGAGTTTAAGAAGTTGGTATTTGGGCATAAAGGAGGTATGGCTAAGGATTCATTGACCCCGATTTCTAACAAACTGGCCATAAATATGCAAGATCCAGACACTTTGCTTCCTTGCTAACACTGTTGATAACAAGAACACTAAAAGGGTCAGCACAACATAATAAAACATCAGTTGCAGGTTTTGTACAACTTAATTTCTGATGCTGCCAACAATGTTTTACTGGGCAGAGGAATACGCATGTCATTGGTAAATCAGGCCTAAATACAACCCATATTTCTGCTAATGGGCCAGAACAAAGGTAACTTTAGTACTGATTATGAAAACACATTACTGGTTCAGTTTAGCCAACCAAAAAAAATAAGGCACTGTGATGGTCAAACAGGTTTATGGGAACTCAGGAATGACACAGAGGGTAAAAAGCTAATGTGTACAGCACACGTTACTATTTTGTGAATGATGTGAAAAGCATGGCCTTATTTGGAACAATAAATCGAGCACTGATATTTAGGGAAAAGCTGCAAAAGAACATTCCCAGTTTAAGCCTAATCCATGCTCATTTCCCATGTCACTGAGCCATTATGAGTCGTTAAATATTTTAGTAGAGATTAAATATTTAAAGCAATCCTGAGTTGAAAGACAAAAATAAGACCCATTCAGTACATGTTCATTTACAAATACAAACCATATTTATTGTTTATCTCAATTGACTGTGCTAATCTGCAAATCATAAAAAGAATATTATGTCAAAAGAAATCAACACAGAAATGATAAACTAACATGATGATTGATCACAGAGAGCATCTTACCGGTTTCAGTGACCATTATATTATCATTATGTCTGTCCCCAATTCCAAGTACATACGTCGCAACGCAGTAACCAGCACAGGAGTACACAAATCTCTCCACCGCTGCATTCAGCTGTAGAGTGGAAAAGATCAACAACAGCATGATAAATATGTCATTTTACCTAATAGATTATATATTATATATACATACACACACATGCACGCACCCCTTATTCTAAAGCCAAATTTCATCATTTTAGGGTAAGGGTCGCAGCCTTTGTCAGGCTACTGCTGCTATGTCTCTATGACCACACAGAATGACAGGGACACAGACACAGACAGAAACAAAAATCTGACATTATTATTATTATCTCTTTCCTTGTTTAAGGTGCTTTTCTTGGTAAAAGAGGCATATCTAGGAAATTGTTTAAAAATTCATTGTTGTGCCTACTCAGCTTCAATGTATCCAATCTTTGGATCCAATACATCTCTCTTTGGTATAGAAAGAATTTTCAGTCCTATCCCTACTTTTATTGCAACTTCCTTTAACACTATACAACTATTCATAAATGGAATGCCTACATTTATAGAAATACTTACCTTAGGACAAACCACTTACCTTTTTCCTTCTCTCTACTTCTTAAAGCTATCTCAATATTTCTGGCCATTTCAGGCTTTATAAAATCTAATAACAGACTTATGCTCAGCTAAGTCATTCATACGATACAGGATTTTTCAACAATATAGACTATGCCATACAGACTTTTAATTTGAGATATTTTACCTCACTACTTTCACATGTATACACTGTGTGCTCAATTATTAGGCAAGTGGGTATTTTGACCAACTCAGAATTTTTATGCATATTGTCCACCTGCAAGCTGTATAAACTTGAATATTTATTGGATTTAAGCATATCAGGTGATGTGTATTTGTGTAATGAGAGAGGGTGTGGCCTAAGGAGATCAACACCGTATATCACGGTGTGCATAATTATTAGGCAGCTTCTTTTCCTCAGGCAAAATGGGCCAAAAAAGATTTAACTGACTGAAAAGTCAAAAATTGTAAGTCTTTCAAAGGGACGCAGCACTCTTGAAATTGCTAAGACATTGAGGTGTGATCACAGAACCATCAAATGTTTTGTTGTAAATAGTCAACAGGGTCGCAAGAACATGTTGAGAAAAAAAGATGCAAATGAACTGCCAAAGATTTGAGAAGAATCCAACATGAAGCTACCAGGAACCCATTATCCTCCAGTACTGTCATATTTCAGAACTGCAACCTATCTACAGTCAGGGGCGTATCTGCCGTGAGGCAAACAAGGCGTATTCCTTGGGTGGCATCTTTCAGGAAGGCGGTGCCACCCCCCAGGCAGAAGGGACCAGTGGCGTTGCTATAGGGGGTCACTTGTCCCCCCGCCAAAGGCGGACTGTATCAGGCGCGGACAGGCTTGGCTTGGCTCAGGTGGTCTCAGCTGGGCTGTGCTTGGGTGGTGGGGCGGTCTCAGCTGTGCTTGGGTGTGGGGCGGGCTTGACTGTGCTTGGGCAAGGAGCAGGTTTGGCTGTACTCAGGCAGGAGGGAAGGCGGTCTTGGCAGTTCTCGGGTGGGGGGTGGTCTCGGCTGTGCTCTGGCGGGGAGCAGGTTCAACTGTGCTTGGGCGGAGGAAGGGTGTGGCTCGGCTGGAGGTGTGGGCCCACAGTGAAAAGCAGAGGTTTTCTATATATTTCACAAACCTGAAATCTGATGGGTCCTCACAGAGGTAATTTTTTAGCTCCTTCATGCAGTATACTGACCGTCTCCTGTATCCTGTCTGCAGTCTCTGACCTTCTCCTGTAACATGTTTGCAGTCTATGACCATCTCTTGTATCGTGTCTGTATTCTCTTACCGTCTCCTGTATCATGTCTTCAGTCTCTGACCATCTCTTGTACTATGTCTGCAGCCTCTGACCATCTCCTGTAGTAAGCTTGCATTCTCTGACCATCTTCTGTATTATGCCTGCAGTCTCTGACCATCTCCTATAGTATTTCTGCAGTCTCTGACCATCTCCCATAGCATGTCTGCAGTCTCTGACCATCCCCTGTAATATTCTGCAGTCTCTGACCATCTCCTGTATCATGTCTGCAGTCTCTGACCAATTCCCGAGATGGAGCTCCAATAGGAAGAGTTGGAGACTTAAGAGGAAGGGGCAGGGTTTACAGATGAAGGGGTGGATCTTAAACAGGAAGGGGTGTGACACATTTAGATTGGGGGGGTGCCTGATTTTAGTCTTGCCTGGGGCCGCACAAAACCAAAATACACCACTGCCTGGAGTGTCCAGAAATACAAGGTGTTCAGTGTTCAGAGACATGGCCAAGGTACACAGAGGTGCACAGAGCTTCACATCGACTCAGACATCAGCAAGGTGGAGTTGGGGTACTGGTATGGGCTGGTATTATTAAAGATAAGCTAGTTGGACCTTTTCAGGTTGAAGATGGACTCAAAATCAACTCCCAATCCTACTGCCAGTTTTCTAAGACATTTTCTTCAAGCAGTGGTACAGGAAACAGTCTGCATCTTTCACGAAGACCATGATATTTATGTAGGACAATGCTCCATCACATGCATCAAAGTACTCCACTGCATGGCTAGCCAGTAAAGGCCTTAAAGATGAAAAAATATTGATAGGGCCACCTTCCCTAAACCTTATTGAGAACTTGTGGGCCCTTCTTAAACATGAATGGAAGGCATATGACTGTTATTGAAAAGAAGGGTGGCTATATTGGTCACTGATTTATTTATTTTTTAAGTTTCAGAAATATTTGTCAATTTTGAACTATTTGTTTATTATTCTCACTTTAACCACTTCAATACAGGGCACTTTTACCCCCTTCCTGCCCAGGCCAATTTTTAGGTTTAATGCTCTCGCACTTTGAATGACAATTGCGTAGTCATGCAACACTGTTCCCAAACTAAAATTTTATCATTTTGTTCATACAACTAGAGCTTTCTTTTGGTGGTATTTAATCAGACTGGGGTCTTTATTTTTTTGCTAAATTAACAAAAAAAGACCAAACATTTTTTTAAAAAAAATCCACATTTCTTTGTTTCTGTTATAAAAGTTTGCAAATAAATAATTGTTCTTCATAAATTTAGGTCAAGATGTATTCTGCTACATGTCTTTGGTGAAAATAACCCAAATTATTATGTATTTTTTAGTTTGTAGGAAAGTTAGAGTTCACATAGAGGCCTTCACATAGAGGCCCAAAAATGTCAGAACAGTACAGATACCCCCCAAATGACCCCTTTTTGCAAAGTAGACAGACGTATTTCATAAGAGGAATGGCGAGTTTTTTGAAGTTGTGATTTTTTTTGTCATAATTTTTTTGGAAAATGAAGAAATTAAAAAAATTATTTTCACAATTTTGTTTACATACTGTCACCAGTGCAGTACAGCGTCATCATGTAACTGGTGTGGCGGGGCTCAGGGACAATGACTGGTGACAGTACGAAAAAAAAAAAATGTGATAATTTATTTTTTCAATTTGTTTTTATTTTTTATTACATTTTGTTCTCTTTTTTTAGGATTTTTTTTTCATATTACACTATGACCAATGTAGTATAAATGGTACCATAGTAACATTGTACTACTTTGGGGAAGCAAGCATTTAACTGAATGAAATCAATTCATTATTAACATTTTGGATTGACTGAGAGCACTGTAGTTGTTCAATAATGAAATTAATCCTCAAAAATACAACTTGCCTAATAACTATGCACACAGTGTAGTAACCTTAAACTGAAATATTTATTCCCAATAAAGAGTGGCACAGAGAAGACCCTTAAATGATGCTAATGCAAGTTTGATAACTACTACCATAGGTAGATTAACCATTCTTTGGATCTTGACTGTTTTTATTCGTACCCCTCATTAGTTTTTGGGATCATGCAGAAGGATGAGTGAGCATAAGTATTCATGTTTTGCTCACATGTATTTGTGAAGCATTACTGAAGAAACTGCAGCACAATGTTTGAATTGGATCTTATATGGACCTATACACTTGCAATTATTGCTGCTCTGGCCACTAATTGGGTTGCTTTGTTTTTTTTTCCAAACAATGTGACAATGTCAAATGAACTCCGCACTAATCACAAACTGATTTCAAGGCAAGCAATTTTCCCATGAAGGTATGCTTTGTGTTTTTTAAGTTGACCATACATGGATCGAAATTTGGAAGGTTCAGCAGGGACTGGCCAAATTCTGATCCATGTATGGGCTAGCTGGCTTTACACAAGTCGATCTATTGATCAACTTGTGTACAACCAGCCTGTCGGGTTTTCCCAGATTGAGCAGTGCCGTCACCTATAGCCAGCAACACTGATCTTTGTGTTTTGCAGGTGGGGAAGGCTCACATAGTGCTGCGGGAATGATTCCCCCAATGTTCCAAACAATACAGCCTAAACTAGATAGAGTTTCACTTCCCTGCGCGCAGGCCAAGCGCTATTCTGTAAGCTGTTTTTCCTTTGTTAGAGCATAATTGAAAGCCTGGGCTCTCTGTCGATTTCTATTACAGAAAGTTGCACACACAGCTGGCTGGTTAAGAGAACCAGCTATTAAACATGTCCAGTAAAAAAATGTAAAAAAATAAAATTTTGGCATAAATTTAGGCCAAAATGTACTTTGCTACATGTCTTTGCTAAACAAAATCCCAATACATGTAAATTCATTGGTTTACGTACAAATTATAGGATTTACAAATGGCGGTATATATACTGGGCTTTTTTCTTTTTTTTTGTTTTTTACATTTTTACTAGTAATGGTAGCGATCAGCGATTTATAGCAGGACTGCGGTGGGCATTCTTTTTTTTTTAATTAATATCTTTTATTAAGTTTTATTTCAATACATAGATGAACAATATATGATCTATCAGAACACATACAATTCCAGATAACTTCTTTACCCCTATTTCCACCCCCCCTTATCCCTCCCTCCCCAATAAAATTACCCCTGTCAAAGTAATTCTTTCCATTTCTTTGCTACCCTGTTTATCCATCTAAGTCTAAACCCTATATTCTCTCCTCACTTTTCAACTGTCCATTTATTCAGTTTAATTCTCCAAGTCTACTACCGGAGCACACGTCACTTGAAGATATTTTTCAGATGTCTTAAAATCATACCACTTACTCCAGTCCTTTCTAAATTTTTCCATTCTATCTTCATCTATATGGTATAACTCCTCCATCTTATTTATAAATTCAATTCCGTCTATCCAGTCCCTCATTGTTGAAGGGTCTTGTGCCTGCCATAATTTGGGAATTAAATCTTTTGCAGCACTGATTAGATGGTATAATATACTATTTTTATATTGTTTCACTGACATCTCTGACTTATAGAATAGGCACACCCACGGGTCCTTTGAATAGTTATCCCCAAGATCTCCGGTATATATTGAATTATGTCTTGCAAAAACCCCTGTATTATTGAACACTCCCACCATATGTGAGCCATTGTCCACCTTACCCCTCCAGCATAGTGGTGAAATTTCTTCTCTTTGTTTATGTGCCAAATTCGGTGTAAAATACCATCTAGTTAAACATTTATAGTTCATTTCTACTGTGTTCATATTCACCACCCTGTGTATCAACTTAAACATTTTATTCTTCTGTTGCTCATTCATTTTTGTACCCAATTCTCTTTCCCATTTCTCTATGAATAACAGAGGTTCAGATCCCGTCCATTCAATAAGGATCTTATATATCCTAGAGGTTGCAGCTATGCAAAGCAATGTGCTGGAGCAGACAGGGAGGAGAACTGTTTTGTTTACTAACAGTTCTCCCCCTTGTCAGAGATCCTAGGCCTCACACGCGCCCCCCTATCCGGAAAAGCAAAATCACGTATATATATATTTCTGATATGGGTGGAGCTGAAGCAGTTAATGACTTGTGTGACTTTTGTAAACAAAATAGTGTTTAACCTGATTTTGCTTTGTTACCCTGGTACATTAGAGGGGTTTGAATAAGCAAATATATATATATTGTTATATCTGTTCATGTTTTTATAAAATTTTAACGTACAAAATTAGTACTTTGCATTTGCAACACCTGTCACTCTACCTAACAGAAACTCTTAGCACCGTTTTTTTGACCATTGGCTTAAACTGCAGATAATTTCATCATGCTGAAGACATCATTAGCAAATAATAGGACATCTAAAATCTCACACAGGCTGAAATATGCAACATTATCTGGAAACTCCAGTTTGCCAGGCTTGACAAAACATTCATTCTTCTTTAACCTTTTAGCCTCTAAACATTTTCGAAGGTGAAAGTGAAGTCATTTTTGCAACATCTGAGAATATTGCTTGGAGAATAAGAATCATGAATTTAGATCAAATCTCACAATATCTAGCAAGCAGATTTTACTTCTAATAAAGAAAAGTTCTTACTAGATAATGGTCTGTTATAACAGGATGTGCTAGCCTTAACCAAGTAATGTGTGGTATATATACTATACATATCTAAAGCAAAGTAAAACTGAATTAAACAGAAATTACAACCTACCTTCTCTTCAATTGGACATTTCTCTTTTAACCACTGACTCAGAACCTCATCTTTAAATGCACCCGTGTTGCCCACTATGCTCTGCTGTATTTGGGCAATGGTCGTGGCATCCTTCACAATTTGAATCATCCCTTTGGAATGACAGGAATATAAACTACATGAACTTTCTACACAAAACACTGTTAATGTAGGATGACACAGGAAAGGCACACTTATGGCAAATGTTTACATCATTACTGACATTTCTGCAATCAAAATCATGAGTCCAGAGAGTGGACACTAAACAGAGCAGTGCAACAATAGACTGAAAATTATTCTAAAAGTAAATTGTCAGAAAAAAGAAAATCTTGAACAACACAGCTTTGTCTGCAATGTAATCTGCCCACTAATTGCCACAACAGGATATCTGTAAAGGCCCACTTTAATGAGCGTTACAAACTAGCATGGGGTGAAATGAGTCTTTCCAGCCCCTCCAACACGGTACCAAGTACATAGCTAACTGAACACTAGGGGGTTTATTTACTAAAGGTAAACAAGCTGTTCGCTTTGAAATGGGATTTCCACTTAGTTTAGTGACTTTGGTGTTAAAATTTCACTTTGCAAAGAAAACCCCAATCACGAACAAGGAAAATTAAAAAAAAGTATTTTTGTTTGAACATGATTGGATGATAGAAATCAGCAGAGCTTCACCTTAGTCACTAAAATATGGGGGAAGTTCCCTTGCATAGTGCAACTTCCATAGCAAAGTGTACAGTCTATTTAATAAGTCATCTCCCATCCACTTACCATTTTAGCTTTTCTTTGACAGGTTCTTTTAAAGAGACCTTTAGTCAAGTCTAAATTTAAACTCACTGAATTGGGCTGATTTACTAAAGCAAATAAACGCAGGTTAAATCATTACTATACACTCACACCGTGGACTAGCATGTGTGCACATTGATCCCAATGCCTGAATCTAGCTGGTCATACACTGATGTTCAATTCATGCAGCATGGGGCAGCATTAGTTTGACCTGTGAGCTGAACATCCATATTATGCAGCTTTCAAGCTGAACTGCAGCAATTCAGCCACTTTCTAAATGTGCTGGATTATTCTGGGTTAGGTACAACAAGGTGTGTGCCACCTTGTGGACTTATTTCCAAAATTTACAATTTACATTTTTACAGAGTGCCAGAAGCATAGCTATTGCTATACTTCCAGTGCTCAGATGCTGGACCTCCTGGTTTCAGCTCCTGCAGTCATCACACAGCTGGTTAGCCTATGTCACCATTGTGTCTAATTAACTGACAAATAATTAGATTGTTTCTTACCTAAAGTGAGTAAAATGCCAGCTGGTTTCTTCCTCAGTTACTATACTTTTCATGCCATATTAGTAATATGCGGGTACTGAATATTGTAAATATCCCTTTTAAAACACCTTGTTTAAATTTTAATAAAAGAGTTTACAAAAAAAACAGACAAGCAGAACCAGCCAATGAAAGACTTCTGCTATCTACAGTGTCTATCTGCCAGTCTGCAACTGTCTTAAAAGCAGTAGGTTCACTCAATATACCTCAGAAAATCTTGCAGACACATGAAGGCTTGCATTGCTGACCTTGTCTGCTGAAAATGCTGGCCCTTTGGGTTTAATACTTGGGCTCACTGACCCAGAACTGGATAGAAGATAAACAATTCTGACTTTTCCCTGGGCAATTTAACTCTCAATTTTCAAAAAGAAATGGCAGAAACTATATTTTTCTTATGTCAGGTATGTATATGTTTATGTGAATTTTATGTCATCCTGCCACATATTCTTCCCTACAGTTCTCACGTGTGATGCTGAGAGGCTCCAGCACAAGTTCTAGACAAAGAGCTGACAATGAACCTACAGTTGGTGGGTTTGGGAATAGCTGATTTACTACTCTGACGGATAAGCATTAGGTGTATCTAGAACCCCAGAGTATAACTAAGCAATAGTGAGGTGGCTTCACACAGTAACATCTATGTCTGGTTGAAAATCAGAAGCTTTAAGCAGCTAGACTAGGCTTTTATGCATTTCAGGAAGCAGTTTTAAAAGACTGACAAAACTTTTTCTGTCCAATGTATAACATATGACAGCATGCATAGTGAAAAAACATATAACACGTGCAAAAAATACACCAGACAAGCTACATTAATAAATGTTAAACCTAACCAATTTTGTTTCCTGTAGAAATGCAGCCATAGGGTAACAAGCAAAGGTCCAACGACTCTGCTTCCCAAATTGATTCCATAATGCGAAGTATCTAAACACAAATAAAAAAACAGCAAAATTAGATTTAAACATCCTGTTAATAAACATGCATACATGCATATTGCTCAGTATTGATTGAATTAATTAATAGCTATAGCAACCTGAAAAAACTAATCACTGAATAAAGATTGATCACAGTCATTTTTAGGCAATTTTCATATGGGAGCCTTTTGCTGCCCTTGACTTAACTAGAAGCAAGGTGATTAACGTGGCAATTTCTGCTACATTTGTAATCTGATGTCAGACAAAAAGAACATCTTTGCTGTGGTTTCATAAGAGCAGGGGAAGCACAAAAACTGGTGGTCGCATAGGTCTGTCAGTCTCGTTCTGAAAACTTCTATCTGGCATCCACTCTACTTATGTTAGAGAAATAAGGTTAAGGTGTATGCAAGCCCTAACATGCTCTCTTTTGGTCTGTTAAAATAATTTTGTTATATCTGTTTGATAAGTGCACAAAAAAAAATTAATTCTGTCAGAAATTCAAGGATGTCCTTCATTGTGCACTCCACCTGTATTATAATAATGTTGACCTGAAGGCAAAACTTTTTTTTCATTTTAGATAGAGAAAATGGGGGGGTTTACAACTCATCAGTTTTTTTTTTCTTTAAATCTGTTTCCTATTGGGGAGATTTCCCTTTGCTTTCTGTCCCATAGACACAACAGATAAGAAAACCCCCAAAAGTGAGGGAATCCTGGTTTGTCACCAGAGTCATCAAAACATCAAAACTAGCATCCCCATTGGAAGACCTCCCCTCTATACCTGTTCTGGGACCAACCTAAAAATTGGGATTTTCTTTCACTCACGAATAGGGTGAATCTCCCTGACGTGGGGCACAGACAGCAATGGAAACCTAACAGGTGTTCTAATCCATATCCATTCAATCTAAAATGAAGAAAAACAATGTTTAATCTTCAGTCTTTCCAGTTGACTGAGGAGAGGGAAAAGGGTTTTTTTTAGCTTCTCAAAAGACAACTGGGCAGGGCTGACACTATTACTTGCAATTTCAGTTCATTGAAGGCACTGTGGTTTAAGCCTGCAAAAGGAAATTAGGCAATGAATGCATTTCTGCAAGGATCAAAATAAAGGGATAAAACATGGAGAAATGGGCATGTATTGTAGGTATGTACTGCATGTTTTTTTTTTTGTTTTTAGCATGACATACATTTTATGCTAACAATATTTTGTCTTTCTTGGATATAGGTGTACTAATTAGATGCTCTATGAGTTTATGAGTGTGTACCTTTGTTTGCACATTTTAATTAGATGCTAAATATTTTACTTTGTGTTCACTGGTTAAAGCGTGGCATAATGTGCCTTACAGGCAACAGCAGCATGCTAGACTGAAAGGTCTTGCTTGGAGATCTAGAATAAATTATAGATTACATGTACTGCATGTCATTAGACCTACATTATGGTATATTTTAAGTTCTTCCACAGTAATACTACTGCTTGTTAGAGATTATGAAATCACATTCTCTACAACATAATATCAAAAAGGGTAATCTGAATCGCTATAACATATAATTTTCAAAGTTAGCAAAACATCGATGGAGCTACACTTTTCTTTCTGTTGAAAAGTTTTTATTGCTTCAAGGTTTACATAAAACAAACAAGAAAACTGGGACTCACATTTGAAAGCACTGATTGTAATCACAAGGCTGAGGCTAACGGATCTAGGCCAAATCTAGGTACCAGCAAGAGAGAACCTTGAATGAGGTTTCTTGTGTGGCAACATTTACTGAGCAGGACTTAGTGGCCTGCCATGTGCCAGTCCAATCTTCTGGTTCAACAGAGATACTGAGGTCATACTCCCATTTATTAACATGGCATGGGGGTTTAGGGAAGAGCTTTGAAAGCATTGTGAGATACAGAGTGGAAATCTGTCCTGAACTATGGGGGTTTTTTTTTTTGCAAAAATGTTCAAACGTGATAAGCTGGTCCATGGATGAGAGGGATGGGGAGTTGGAGAAAAAGTGCTTAATTTGAAAGTAATGAAAAAGGTTTGATGGTAATTGAGAGCATTGGCATAGAGTTGGAAAAAGGAAGGATCCAGTAAGGGCTCCCTAAGTGATGTGAAGCTACACTTTTCTAAACATAACCTGTTTGCTCATTACATAAAATAAAATAGATTATTCTCCAATGGCTAATAAAACAGGTGATTGAAAGCTACTGGCCTAAAATACAAGAGGGCAGTTACGGTACGTGGAATAGTGAGTTACCGCAGTCACTGTCAGAGCAGAATTGGGAATCTCAAGTCTAACGATTCACAAGAGATCCCTTGATATGTCAATGCAAGAACAGTGTTATAAGGTGTACTCCAAAAATTACAACGTGCCTACATTACTACACAAAATTTCAACCACAATACTGAACAAGTGCTGGCGTTGTGACCAGGCTCCTTTCCTCCACATATGGTGAAGTTGTCCATCCATCCAAGCATATTGCCAAAAGGTAGACAAAGCTTTATCTATGGTCTCCTCGTACCCTCTGGAGTTACACCTGCTCAGTTTTTGTTAAACCATTCTTATGTCACGGAACTGGCTTATCATAAACCCTTACCAATGAATTTGATAAAGGGAGTGCGACAATGTATTCTGGTCTATTGGCAACAGAGCTGTCTCTCATTCATGAAAGATTGGTTTATGAGGGTGAACAAGATAGCAGACATGGAGGAAAGACCAAGGACGAGTATAAAGCGGTGATTCCTGCACCCTAATTTCATCTGAGCGGTGCAGGCTATTGGTAAGTTACATGTCAGTACAAGCGAAGAAAACAGACTTCAGGATGAAGGCAAGTATCACAACTTCCAAACCCGGACTACACCGTTTCCCACTTTAGGGGTTTTTTTTTTTCTTTAAGTTTGTGTCCCTCTCCTCTTTCTAACCTCTACCTTCTCTATGCTACTTTTATTTCTACCCCCTTGAACATTCCTAGACCATGGCATTAAGCATCATACATAGAATGCCCACTAACCAAATAGTAGGATTATACTAAAGAGTCTCCATACACACTTACTGGTGCGTTGGAAGACAGTATGCCTCTATGCACTATTCCGAGAAGAGGCTCTCTCATTGTGTTAGTGGTTTTCCAAGGTGACATTTGGGGGTTTTCACTTCTATATTGTGTTATTCCCAACACTTATCAATCCAAGATACTAGGATTGATAGACTACTTTACTGTCATAATTTCATAATTATAGTGTGTTAAGGACTGATATCTCACAGGTATGAAAGATGCATATTACTTGGATTTGGATGCCGGTTACAATGGGTGAATATGATGTGGGGTCTTATATTATGGACTCTGTATTGTATGTCTCTTTTAGCATTGTTTGATGCTTCTCGGATTGTGGTGATTATATTGTCTTTTCCTTCTTTTCTTTTTCAGTTGTTTGGTAACAGAGGTTATCTTCCTTTGTTACTTTGATATTTTGCTACTTTGACTGTATACCTGTCATAAAAAGGTTGTTGTATATGTGCGTTTAAAAACCTTTATGAAACTAAATTACAAGGGGATGAAATAAAAGGTTATAATGTAAAGAAATACACCTAGCAGTTTACGAAATTTATTAATGAGAACTAATACCAAAAAGAGAAATCAGATTGAATTTTACTATACAAACAGTGCAAAATATGAATTTGTATGAATTGCTCCTTGTGCAATGTTTTGATGAAAGGCAAAAATTATCAGATAGGTTAATATTTTGTAGCGTTAAAGATCTAATAACATGTAAATCATAATATATAGTTTGTTGCATTTATTGTCCATACACCTCTTTTAATGTAGGGAAATTTGGTCAGCATCCATAGAATCCCAACAGCATATAAGGTTGATTTATAGAGGTATGGCTTCTAAATTAAAAAAGAAGTGTAGGATCCGAAAAATAACAAACATTTATACTCACCTAGATGGCTGCAGCACCAAGCTGTTCTCCACCTGCTCTACACTGACAGCTCAGAGATCAAAGACCATTGGTCGATCAGTTTTCGGGTCTGCTCTGAGCAGAGAGTGGTGACTGTCAGTCACTGCTCTGTGCTCTGCCTCTCCAGTGCTCACTGCAGTGCCAAACTAAGGAGGGGGATGGAGTGGCTGGCTCGGTCTCTATTGTTGGGATCCCTGCACAGCCTGGACTGGCTCTGTAACTTCAGCTCACCGATGCTCAACATTTAAAGGCATGGCACGAATCTGGGTCACAGGAGTGCAGAAATAAGCGCACTCCTGTGACCCACAGGAGAAGTATGACCAAAAAAAAGCTTTGGCCCTACTTCTCCTTTAAAGCGGTAGGAAACTGAAAAAGAAAATCTGGTTCCTGCACATTTAATAGATATTTACTGTGTCTAAAGGTAATCTTTATTATATGCTTACCTGTAGGTATAGATAAAAAAGCAGACTTTACTACTGCATTAAGTGAGCATACATAGAGAAACATGGAAGCAATCCCAATTCTATTAGATTTTTTACTATGGTAGTTTTCAGCTTCCCATACTTTAACGAAAACAGATGTAACAACACACTTTTAATTGTATATTTAATAGACTAATCGTAAAAAAATATTGAAAAAGATATTCACTATTACGGTTTACCTGCACCTGAAACAGTGAATCTAGGATAAGTTACTTTCTACTTGCATTGCAAGTGCCATATAACAGCTGCTACATGGATTTGACAGGATCTATGGCTACTGGGAAAAACTGTATATCACTCACTTATCAAAGTATTTCAAACAAGAGCATTATGCTTTTTATGATTCATTAGGAAAACAGAATATTTAGACTGGTCATTCTAAAAAGATTACATAAGATTACATAATAAAAGAAAGATTCATCGATATTTTAAACAACACAAACAGATCTTGCAAACACTTGGATGGGTGCAATGTGTCACCTCAATTCTACACAAAAACTAAAAAAGAATACCTTTAGCTGAATTCACTACATACCTGAAGAATGAGCATGTCTTGCCGGAGGTCATCTCCATGTTTAAATATAATTCCAATGGTTTCATTTGACAAAGCAGTTGGGTCTGCACATTTAAATTCCAGCCATAAGGGTTTCTTTTTTGAGGCCATTACCTTGCACTTTTCCACCTTGTAGGACAAAAACAATTAATACAAGTTATTGTTTTTTTTTTCTTGATAACTCAAATGAGCTGCATATGGCATGGCATTAGGTGCAGTTTTTTCAAATTAGGACTGATCATGTGATTATATTAGGCGGAACTTCACACTTAACAAACGCAGGTCTACAACTATTAATCTAATTACAGAATGGACAGAGGTTTTATTTCAAGCTTACTGCTCACATATCTATTTAAATTACAGGCCTGAAGATAATTTCTGATATACAGCCTATCGCCCCTTTCACTGTCAGTGAGGCATTGCGACCTTCATGGCTTTCCCTCTTGTGAGCAGCCAATGGCATATTTGCTACATCTAGACAGTGAATCAAATAAATTCCCAGGACTCCAGACTGCTCATTCTGCTTGGTAAGTGATCACAAAACCAATTGTTTCATCCACACAATGAAACGCATCAGAAGGGGCTTATTATATGCTGTGAGACTGCTGTCCACATCGCCGTGGGAAATCGCTGACAGTCCAGAGGCCACTGGAGCGGTGAGAAATGCTAAGTGGCTGTGTGCTAAGTTTTTGTGCAGAGGACTGGCTGATTTATAAAGGCATAGTTATTTCTCTCCCTCTTATATTGTAAGCTCCAAGGAGCAGGGCCCTCCTATCCCTCTTGTATTGAACTGTATCATTGCTGTATTGTCTCCCTTTATATTGCAAAGCTCTGAGCAAACTGTTGGTGCTATATAAATCCTGTATAATAATAATAATAATTTTGGTATTCTTGTGATCAGTTACCATCTAGGAGTCCTGCGAACTGATTTGATCAACGCTGCTAACTGCATCATTTTAAGATGAGTGCATTGATTTTAGTTGTTTTAGAATAAATTGTATAATGCTATGAAAAGTGCCTTTCTCTCTTTCCTTTTGGGTGTAGTTATAATAGGGGAGTCATTTTTGAAGATAAATGGAGAATCTGATATTAAGAACTGGAATAAGATCTTTTACACCTTATTATTTAAGGTCAAGAATGTAGAGCGATGGGTGTAGCACACAATATCATGAAGGTGGATTGTGGTTTTTTGGAATGAGAAGAAAAGATATATTATTTCCAGGAGTGGCGATGCACAGTTTTGGAAGAAAAATAAGAGGACAAACATTTGTTTTCACTTGGGTTTTTTTTTTCTTTTTTTGACACGAGTTTTGGAACACTTTATATTGCTCTTAATTATTTATTGGTTTGAGTATTTTGTACATATAGCAGCATTAAGTGATTAATTTAGGTGATAGCACAAAAACATATACAGTAGTTATACTAGGCTTATGTTTGGAACCCCTAGGCAAGGAGTCAGAAAAGCCAGAGATCGGTGGTTCAATCTCCCTGATCTCCAACTGTAACGTACACAGAAGACATCAGGGTATATTAAGACCTCCAATGATTCAGTAAAGCAGATCGTACCACACTGGTAAAGTTATCCTCCTGTGAGTCAATAGTCAAGCTGATAGCCATCTTTTCACACCATGGGGCCTAAGACTTAAGCTGGCCATACATGGTAGATTTCAGATTACCCGATCCACTTATTCAAGGCGGTTGGGGAAATTCTTCCTGCTGCACTATTGTATTCTGACAGCAGAGGGACTCCTTGCTTTCAGAATACAGAGATCAGCACTACAGTCATTGGCTGCAGCATCTGATTGAGTGCTTTTATCCAACAGGTGATTGAACAGATGTCGGCAGATTTATATCTGTTCTACTGCAGTGGCCAGATATGGATTAATTTTGCCTGGTCCCTGTTGAACAGACCGAATTTTGATCCATCTATGGTCACCTTACGAATCATTTAATAGTTAGCTTTCTAGACCCATGTCTGAGCTATGGGCAGCCAGATGTTATCGGAATTGTGTTCATTCAGACTACCTTGGCTCGGTCATATACAGATCCAAAAATATGAAAAAGGATGCAGATCCTCTCGTACATTTGTTTGTTCATTAAAATAATATGTTTAAAATTATGATTATGTGTTTGCTGGGGATTTAACCACTTCCCAACCGACGTACATATACAGTATCTCAAAGAAGTGAGTACACCCCTCACATTTTTGTAAATATTTGATATCTTCTCATGTGACAGCACTGAAGAAATGACACTTTGCTACAATGTAAAGTAGTGAGTGTACAGCTTGTATAACAGTGTAAGTTTACTGTCCCCTCAAAATAACTCAACACACAGCCATTAATGTCTAAACCGCTGGCAACAAAAGTGAGTACATCCCTAAGTGAAAATGACTAAACTGGGCCCAATTAGCCATTTTCCCTCCCCGTATCATGTGACTCCTTAGTGTTACAAGTTCTCAGGTGTGAATGGGGAGCAGGTGTGTTGAATTTGGTGTTATCTCTCTCACTCTCTCATACTGGCCACTGGAAGTTCAACATGGCACCTCATGGCAAAGAACTCTCTGAGGATCTGAAAAAAAGAACTGCTGCTCTACATAAAGGTGGCCTCGGCTATAAGAAGATTGCCAGACCCTGAAACTGAGCTGCAGCACGGTTTCCAAGACCATACAACAGTTTAACAGAACAGCTTCCACTCAGAACAGGCCTCGCCATGGTTTACCAAAGAAGATGAGTGCACGTGCTCAGCATCACATCCAAAGGTTTTCTTTGGGAAATAGACATATGAGTGCTGCCAGCATTGCTGCAGAGGTTAAAGGGGTGGAGGATCAGCCTGTCAGTGCTCCGACCATACACCGCACACTGCATCAAATTGGTCTACATGGGTGTTGTCTCAGAAGGAAGCCTCTTCTAAAGATGATGCTCAAGAAAGCCCGAAACAGTTTGCTAAAGATGAGCAGACTAAGGACATGGATTACTGGAACCATGTCCTGTGGTCTGATGAGACCAAGATAAACTTATTTGGTTCAGGTGGTGTCAAGCGTGTGTGGAGGCAACCAGGTGAGGAGTACAAAGACAAGTGTGTCTTGCCTGCAGTCAAGCATGGTGGTGGGAGTGTCATGGTCTGGGGCTGCATGAGAGCTGCCAGCACTGGGGAGCTACAGTTCATTGAGGGAACCATGAATGCCAACATGTACTATGACATACTGAAGCAGAGCTTGATCCCCTCACTTCGGAGACTGGGCCACAGGGCAGTATTCCAACATGATAATGACCCCAAACACACCTCCAAGATGACCAATGCCTTGCTAAATAAGCTGAGGGTAAAGGTGATGGACTGGCCAAGCATGTCTCCAGACCTAAACCCTATTGAGCATCTGTGGGGCATCCTCAAACGGAAGGTGGAGGAGCGCAAGGTCTCTAACATCCACCAGCTCCGTGATGTCGCCATGAAGGAGTGGAAGAGGACTCCAGTAGCAACCTGTGAAGCTCTAGTGAACTCCATGCCCAAGAGGGTTAAGGCAGTGCTGGAAAATAATGGTGGCCACACAAAATATTGACACTTTGGGCCCAATTTGGACATTTTTCACTTAGGAGTGTACTCCCTTTTGTTGCCAGCGGTTAGACATTAATGGCTCCGTGTTGAGTTATTTTGAGGGGACAGCAAATTTACACTGTTGTACAAGATGTACACTCACTACTTTACATTGTAGCAAAGTGTAATTTCTTCAGTGTTGTCACATGAAAAGGTATAATAAAATATTTACAAAGATGTGAGGGGTGTACTCACTTCTGTGAGATACTGTATAAATATATATATATATATATATATATATATATATATATATATATATATATATATATGTGTCCTTGGGAAGTGGTGTTGATATCAAGATGATAGCCATCATCCTGGTATAATTTTTTAGAGTCAGTGATTCCCTATCTGGCAAAAGTGATCCATACCTCTGCTCGACCATTTTTAAAAGCAGTGGAAGGGCCTGCTGGCAGTGGTGCTGGCTGACCATAGAAACTGGAGGACCATCCGTTTACCGGCCGTTCAGCTCTATGGTGTATGAAACTGGTTTGATTGGCTGCTTTAAGGGCAGTGGAGAGATTTGGGGTCTAAAAGAACCCAGATCTCTCCAAAAAGAGGACCTGTCATGGCCCATGCTATCACAAGGGATGTTGTTCATCCCTTGTGATAGCAATAAAGTTCAAATAAAATGAAAAATGTAAATAAAAAAATTAATAATGAAAAAAAATTAAAGCACCCCTGCTCACACACAAATGCGAATGTGCACATAGGTGCCACACACATATGTAATTGGCAATCGCACCACACGTATCGCCACAAACATCAGCATGAGAGCAACTATTCTATCTCCAGACTTCCTGTTGAACTCTAATCTGGTAACCTGCAAAGGATCGCCTACAGATAATTTAATGTATTGCAGTTTTTTGCCATTCCACAGGGCATGTGAAAGTTTAAAGTGTGAAAAAGTTAGGTATCTATTTACTCAGTGTACCATCATCTTTTGTATTTTACAAGAAAATGTATCATTTTGTAGTTTATTATTTTGTGTTTGTGTGCACTAAAATTCATTGAAGTGTAATTTTTTCTGAAAATTTGTGTTTGATAAACAGCTGTGCAAATATTGCAACAACCACCATTTTATTCGCCAGGGCCGATGATTTTTTAAAAAATATAAAATCTTGTAGTAATTGTTTAGCAAAAAAAAAAAGCTGGTTTTTACATGTATGTGAGAAAGGTCAGAATAGGCCCGGTTTTTAATTGGTTAAAAACAAAAGAAAATAGCTAACAACAATGGTATGATGCATAACATTAACTTTCCCTTCAGAAAGGGATGTCAGACCTGTCAAAGCAAACAAGTTTGATGAAGTTATGTTTGACTTACAACCAATCCACCAGCTCGCAGTCCAGGGTCATAGGGTACTCTAAAGCTTTCTGGAAGTAGAGATCCTTGGAGTTTTTCAAGCTTTTGACGTAGTTGTGAGATAACTGAAAAGTAATATGATAAAAAGCCTCAAAAACTCAACACAATACAAATACAGTATCAATCAAATGCTAGTTTATCATGCATCCACGTTCCTTAACCACTTCAATACCAGGCATTTTTACCTCCTTCCTGCCCAGGCCAGGTTTCAGCGCTCTCACACTTTGAATGACAATTGCGCGGTCATACAACATTGTACCCAAACTAAAATTTTAGCAATTTATTCACACAACTAGAGCATTCTTTTGGTGGTATTTATTCACCACTGGGGTTTTTATTTTTTGCTAAATTAACAAAAAAAGACCAAACATTTTGAAAAAAAAAAACCCACGTTTTACTTTGTTTCTGTTAAAAAGTTTGCAAACAAATAATTGTTCTTCATAAATTTAGGCCAAGATGTATTCTGTTACATTTCTTTGGTGAAAATAACCCAAATCAGTATTTATTATTTAGTCTGTAGGAAAGTTATAGACTTCACAAACTATGGTATAGATCTGAAAATTGATCAATCCTGAAGTACTGACAGCCAATCTAATTTCTTGATGCCCAAAAATGTCAGAACAGTACAGATATCCCCCAAATGACCCCTTTTTGCAAAGTAGACAGTCTAACGTATTTCATAAGAGGCATGGCAAGTTTTTTGAAGTTGTAATTTTTTTGTCATAATTTTTCGGAAAATTAAAAAATTTAAAAAATTATTTTCACAATTTTTTTTTTACATACTGTCACCAGTGCAGTACAGTGTCATTATATAACTGGTGTGGCGGTGATCAGGGACACTGATCGGTGACAGTACGAAAAAAAAAAAAAGGCCGGTACACAGATCTGTCATCGGCTGTGTACAAGGTACAAGGCCGGTGACAGATCTCGCCACAGCGCGGCCCTGTGGGCACGCGAAAAGCGGGATCTGGGAAGGACTTCATATGACGCCCTCCCAGAGGGACAAAGTGTTCGCCCGGCCGTCATTTGACCATAGGCTGGGCGCCAAGTGGTTAAAGAAGAATTCAATGAAAACATTTTTTCTATTGTTGAATGATTACAACCCTGCTGAGGTTTCTATTCCTGTGCCCCTGCTTGGTTGATTATTACTCACCTGACCAGTGGGCTAACTCCAATCAGTCCAAAACTAAAAGAAATTGAAAGGGATTTATCAAAACTGAAGCAGCCAGAATCTGGTGTGGCTGTGCATGGCAACCAGCTTCTATCCTTCACTTTCAAAGCTTATCTAAACAAGCTGAAAATAGGAGCTGATTGGTTGCCATGCAAGGATCCTGGCTGCTACAGTGATGATAAATGTCCCTGTTGTCTAGAGTTTATCTTTTATTAATCGAATAATTCACACTCATTAACTATGAATTTTCATATACTAAAAAAATTGTTGAAGGCAGTCAAAATATCTCTGCACAGATTCCCTCCAAATTGAGGAAATCACCAGTTGTCACCAGAACCAGCGTCCCCATTGGAAGATTCCACTCTATCACTGTTCTGGGGACAACCCAAAATCTAGGATTTACTTTCACTTTTGATGATAATGGTAACCATAACAAATAGAGAAGGGGAATCTCCCTAATGAGGGCACAGACAGCAATAAAAACCTGACATGTAAACTCAAACGCATGTTATTTCCTCGATTTACTCTTCTCTGTTTCCTTTGCGGTCTTTATACAGTGTTCATACATGTTTTTGCACACTGCTTCATTGTGATATATGTGCCTGTATCCCTCAATTTTTTTTATAATCTTTAGTAAAACTCTTATGAATTATAAACAAAAACCTTACAGATATTATGATGCCTTGCCAACTTAATTTTGGTTATAACCTAAGTCTGCATGGGTTCACTTTAGGTGACATGCGATCAAATGTTTGAGCATAACTTGGGTGGTCTACATAACTTATACTCTGCTGCACATGAGCCAGTTTGAATCACAGTAGGTGTGTTGAACTGCATTACAATATGCAACCTACTAAGATACAGTATTCAGGATTTACCTTGCGAGGTGACATCGTACTTCTCAGCAGAAACACTTTTGATCTCCATGGTGACTTTATGTAAGACTTCAGTAATTTGAACCTGTTTAATGAAGTCATTTAGCATGGCAGTTCCACAACCTCTTAGGTAAGCTTCCAGGATGACAGAAAACCTCTGCTGATAATGCTTTGACTGCGCAATCTCACTTCTCAGAAACCAGAACAAGAAGTGACCAATTCTCTTGCTCTGCAAAAATGAACCACATTTTGAAAAATGCCTCCAAAACAAATTTTTGTTTTTAAAACTGTACATGCAGCAAATTGAAAGAAGCTATAATATAAATACAAGCAACGAAAAGAAAAATATTGTTTTGTATTTTATATATGCATTTCTGTTGGACTTTCCTATAACTTAGCTCTTAGTATATACAGTAGGTTTGTACATTAATTAACTACATCTTGGAAAGAAGCAGGAATCAATCTTGATATTAATACTTAAAGCTGACATTTAGGTACATTTTGTTTTTGCTGGAAGACCAGACCCAGCAGCAGTGGGGAGATTTCTACACTTTGCATCAATCAGCATGACATGGGAAACAGATCAGTAGAGGTTGTACCCCTGATGCTGTAAAGCAGAAACAAAAATGAACTAAATTTCAGCTTTAAAGCAGACTTTCAGTCATTTTTTCAACTCTCCTTCTATTAAATATTCTGTCCATGCTGTGTTATCATTGAAAGCAAAACTGTAATTTGGTGCCAGTAAAACCCTTTCACTGCTTGTAAATCGCCTAGGTGAATGATGTGGTTTCCATCCTCCGCACTGACTCCCGGGATAGTGCTAGTTTCTTCTTTTTTTCTCATGCTTGTGAGAGTTTTCGGGCAGGGGAGGAAAGCAGGGAGAGTGGGGCAGGGCTGAGGGAGGTCACAGGAGAGCCGAGAACGGCTGCAGAACTGGAGGGGGCCAGAAGAGGGCAGAAATAAGAGGAGACATGTTCACATCGGAAAGGAAGCGCTGCTTCTAATGTGTATGCATGGCCTGGGGCCCTTTTACCACGCATGTGTGAAATTTCACTGGCCTAGCGAGTCAGAGCAAAGGAGGAGACCAGTACACATTGCAATGGAAGCGCTGTTTCTACTGTTCATGCACGGTCTGGAGCCCTTTTACCACGCATGCACGATATATCACTGGCCCAGCAAGGCAGAGCAAACCCGACTATTCCTGGAATACTGCAGCCAGGGCCTCATTTGCCCTCACTACAAATGGCCACTCACACAAGCAGCATGAAGGATAAAAAAAAGTATTTTTGACACAGAAAAAGTAACCTAATACTGTAATTAATACTAATTCTTAATTCAGCTTTACAGTGTTTAAACTGCAAACTGTTTGTTTTTTATTAAGCATGCTTGACTGCAGTTCCTCTTTAAGTAGGTTTTCCATCTACCCACATGTCCTATGCTACAGATTGGAGGGAGTTTCCAAGAACAAACATTGATCATTCAGCAATTGCCAGAGCCTCTGAAGTTAACATTACTTGAAGCTGTCCACTTGTCTTGACACAACTACAAAATCCAAATGCTATTCACTGCGAGGAATTTGATTTTAAATAACTAGGAAGCTGCATCATACATAAGACACTGGCTTGCTGATATATATATATATATATATATATATATATGAAAAATAAAATAAGTCACCGTCCATAGCTTACTCTCAATGCACGCTTCAACAGGAACCTTGATAGAGCACTGTCATGGTATGGCTCAAACTTAACAGCCTGCAAGTGAGAAAGAAGAATAAGATAACTGGATCAGTATATTTTTTTTTACAAACCAATTCAAATTAAAATTAGAACAGTTACAAGAATTTCTGTTCAGTGAGGCTGCCAGATATTCTTTGGGCAGGAGTCTACAATAAATGGAAAGTGTCACTAAACCCACATCATAAAAAACTATCGATAACTGCTGTATTATGTGCTGTACATACTCGCTCAGTCACTATGGGATTTGTTTTCTGTATTCTGCATAAAACCTGGTTGAATCTGCTGTTCTCTATCTCCCCATTCTGTCCATGTTCCTAATATAGCTAAGGATTTTGCAGACCAGTGTTTGCAGCTACTGCACGTGCTCACTGAGTTTCTATGCTGAGCATTTCCTCCCTATCACATCTGAGCAGCCCATGTGACTATAGAGTCACACATGTAGATGTATACACAGTGGTAAATGACAGCCCACTCCCTTCCTCCCTTTTCCTCTATGACCACTAACCAGCTAAACACAATGGGGTGGTGAGATATTACATCTTGATTGATGGAGGCTTCACTCCCCTTTTATTCTAAGACACAGGCTGGAGGGGCATAACACAACCCGTGACTGGCAGTAATCCGCCCGCACCATGTTATGACCAAAAAAATAAAAAATTTCAAATATATATATTTGTATGATGATTAAAACAGTTTCTTGACATAAATTATTTATTTTTACTCTTTATCCCAAAGGCTTTTTTCATTTTGAACATGTGATCAGCAGCAGAGGACTAGAAGCTCCTCCAGCTTATGTTTCAGGCTGAGAAAAAGCTGGGTCATGTGACAGCTGCATATCGATTAAGAAAAAGCTATTTAGGTTTTTTTCTTTTTAAAATAATTACAGTGCATTAATCCACAAACAGAAAGAGAAGGAACAATGTAAATGAAATAGTTTGTGTTTAGTATCACTCTAACTGACCAAATACTAGCATGCAGCCTACCTTCACCATAGGTGAAACATTTACTTACTGTGCATATAGCTCTCAGCTTGCAGAGCAGAAGAGAAGTAGAAATCATATAGCTTGGTGGATATTTAGATAATTTTTTCCAACAATTAGTCACAAGACTGCAATAGGAGTGCTCTGCTGTCAGCTATGATGCTAGATCCACCCCACATGATGTGCATGAGTGTCATGTTGGGGGCTAGCTAGGTGCTGGGGGGTGAGAAAAAAAGTGCAGAGCTTTAAAATCGAACAGAGTGGCAACACAGAAGACTGTGGATTGGCCAATACTGTTTTGCCATTCTGGACAAGGAACTAATGTGCACTAGTAGGATCATCAGGTATTTATTCTACGCTGATCTAATTTTCAAACTAATGTGCACCACAGATAGTTGAGTAAAATAATTTTAAAGCAAAAAGGGGAAAAATATATTTTTTGGCATTTATTACAATAGGCAACATGCCATTACTGCAGGGTGCAGTACATCTGTCTTTTAACCTATGTCCATGTGTTCTTCACATCCGAGGTATGAGTTGGTTCTAGACATAAAAAAAACCTCTCCTTACATGGGCCTCATTTTTTGCTCTTTAACTTGAAAAAGACACAGTCACCTTTCTTCTCCACAGTCAGGGGAAATACCTGGCACCTCCAGGTGTGAGGGAGCATAGGACAGTGCCCAGGCATAGGAGCCAATCGCTATTCTCAACCACTCTGACAAGACCGGGAATTGATGTCCTGATCTCAACAGAGGTGACTGGAGTGGCCAATCATGGGTTGTCCTTTCCAGAGACTCTGCATGGGCAAAGTGACAGTCCTTCTTTAAGTAATTTTTTCAGCAGTAAAAATGTTGTTACTCAATGACCATGTCTCCTGTTGCAGTGGGTGCAGTTTTGTGTCAAAGACTACAATTGCTACTTTTAAAAAAAAAAAAATGGTTTGGAAAAAAAATGGGCAGGTTTTTGACTGAGTGATTAGTGTTCTTAGATTTAAATCACATCAAGTTGCTGTAGAGTTTGACGCTGCATAACACTGCATGGAGTTTGGTTATTGTCCACTTCACACATGGTAAAATACTAGTAGAAGTAGAAGTAGTTTGGAACTTTATTATCGTTTTATAGTAAAGGCTTGTGGGTTGCATGGCATCTTTTGCAGCATTATTTACTGAGGGATGGAGTGAAACCACTTTATGATGCATGCAGCAACCTTATGTTTAACTACTGATTCTGTGCTGATTGATAATTAGGTTTGGTTTAGACTTGGTAGAATCAATATATTGGCTATCATATGCGTGTGTGTGAAACTCAGGGCACTAGATTGCAAGGATGTTAGTTTGCAAGAATGTGCAGAGCGCAATATTTCACAGCTATTTTAAATCACTGCAAACTATAATGGTAAAACACACTTGTGTGCTTAAGTATATTACATAAAAATGATTGATATGTATTATAAAAACAGTGAAATTAGAACAGAAATAAAAAAAAATATTGCTTCAGGTAATAGACATGCAAGAAATACATGCAAAACAATAAACAAAGAAACACTATATTTATAAATGAATAATAAAAGCATCTACAGTATGCCAAGGGAACAAAGCTACATACTGATAAATTATTAGTAAGCTTTTGTACTCACGCAAATAAAAAGTGGTACAGAGGAACTACATGTGCTATTATGCAAAGTGTGGATTACCTGTACCAGCTGTAGCAGATAATGAAGGACATCATCATTCTGTAAACACTCCAGTTTCTGAACTGCCATGGCTCGTACATTTTCATCAGAAAAGTTGCAATCAAGTAGCTGAATTGTTAGACCAACATCCAGAGAGCAGTCATCCCATGCTTCTCTTTTATTTAATAGTTGATATGTTTTGGCCACCATCTCCTGGTCACCCCACTTTACTGAATTTAGCAGTTTAGGGTAGGCCTCTGGGTGCTTCATAACTTCATACCTAAAATGCCACATGAGCTCTTGGTCTTCTGGTGTCAAGGGATGCAGGGGATCTGTAGATATAATTTCTTCAAGCTGCTTCCGTAGCTGGTTGGGCATTTCGGACCTTGCCCTGTCAAGTTCAGGATCAGACACTGACTTGTGTTTGGGAAGGGCTACCGGATGGCAGTATTTGTCTAGACTTAGAGAAATGGCCATTGAAGTATCTTTATCAGGGTTAGTGGCAGATGTCAGTTTATCTGCATTAATACTTCCTTGTTCTTCCCCTTTACCAGGTATTTTCCACATGTGAAGCACAAATTCCCCCTGTCTTAACAAGAATCTGTGATCAATTAACAACAGGTTTACATAGTAAAGAAGCTGGTTTTTACATTTTGGGTCTGAGCTAGTAGTATCTGCTGCATGGAGAGTGCCTTTGTTTGAGACAGCCTGAGTCTTACAGGAAAATATTTGTAGATTTCAGAAGGGCTCCTTTAGGCAAATCTTTGATTTTTATATCAAATTCCAGCCATGTGTTCCACAGGACCTCTTCTGTAAATGGCTTACAAGAAGTCCTCCTTTGGGAAAGCACCTGCTGTCCATGCTGAATGTTGGCTTCAACAAACACAATGAGTTCAGTATTTCTTGGCAAAACTGGGATATCAAATCCAATAATTTTTACTCTGAACTTTCTATTGCAATCCCAAAGAGATATTGTAAATATCTTCTCGTGGTCTTTTCCCTCAATAGTAAGCTGTTCATGATAACCTGTTACTCCAGTGCAGTCATCAACCAAAGGCCACTCTTCTTTCTGCACCATGTCTTCGGATGGATCAGGAGGGAGGTCAAGAACAAAATGGATCTCATCCCCATTTTTAATACATTGCCTTATGTAAAGAAAATCTTTAAGTGGTGAGTGTCCAATGATGTACTCATCTCTCCCACAAACTCTTAGGACAAAATCTTGCTCACTGTGTTCCTCTGAAATATCCAGTAATGATTTCTTCTTAGCCATTTTTGTAAAGAAGGACTGAAGTACTTCATCTGGTGTGTCATCAATGGACCCCCTGATTGTATGGCTTGTCATGCCCTTGTGTATAATTATGAAAATATTATTGGAAAAGTAAGTTTTTTAGATAAATGTTCTGGAAGTGCCTTTGACGTTACCCACGGGTCCATAGAATATAGCCTGGCATCTCTTTTAACGAGCTCAATCATACGTGGAGTGACCAATCTACGCCGGGTGAATTCTAGTTCATCATCATGTACATTACTGACATCTGTCACATCATATCCAATTAGATAATTTAACTTTTTCTGGTATTCCACTGTTTCTTCAGAGGATTTTTGTTTTTGGATGATATAAATCTTTCCTACAGTTTTTTGTAAAACCTTCCAGTACATTATGCAGTCTAATGTTTGAATCACCTGATGTTTGTCATATATTTCATACCACTGACCTTTTTTCTGATATTGCAAGAGGAACTGGTCTGGACCAAGTCTGTGGTAGAAATCACTATTGTGACTTTTCTCTATTGCATTCATCCACACTTGTGCTTTCATCTGCTCGACTGTGCAATTTCCAGCAACTTCCAGGAGAATTATGTCTGGAGCCTTGCTATTCTTAAGGCTAGTGGGCAGAATGAATTCTATTGGTATAAGCTCCATGGAGAACACGTTGGATGTTGCAGCTGAGTGGGGTCTCATTTTTCTTCTTCTCCTTTTATTTTCATCTCTTAGTACAACAGGCTGGTCATAATTCTCCAGCGCCATGCCAGCTTCAAGCTGTGAACAGAAATAGAGTATAAAATATACAAACTGACTTTTTTATATGTTTGCTAGTATTACATTTTTGTTGCTTAATAAATAACTAGAATAGCAGAGTCTTGTACCATGTTCGCCACCAATTATTGCAGAAAGTTGGGAGTTCAAGTGATACGCTTTATTTGCTAATTTAAAATGTTACTAAACCAAGGACAATGCACTCACTATATCTGGTCTCCCACAGTACATAGAACATGGAAATGAAATTATTGTAGTAAATATAAACTACTAAATACCGTATTTTTCGCTCCATAAGACGCATCTGACCATAAGACGCACTTAATTTTTAGAGGCGGAAAACAAGAAAAAAAATTCTGAACCAATGGACTGCAGACATAGTACAGCAGATGACCAGAGACTGCAGACATAATACAGCAGATGACCAGAGACTGCAGACATAGTACAGGAGATGATCAGAGACTGCAGACCTAGTACAAGAGATGACCAGAGACTACAGACACAGTATAGGAGATGACCAGAGACTGCGGACATACTACAGGAGATGACCAGAGACTGCGGACATAGACAGGAGATGACCAGAAACTGCGGACATACTACAGGAGATGACCAGAGACTGCGTACATAGTACAGGAGATGACCAGAGACTGCGTACATAGTACAGGAGATGACCAGAGACTGCGTACATAGAACAGGAGATGACCAGAGACTGCAGACATAGTACAGGAGATGACCAGAGACTGTGTACATAGAACAGGAGATAACCAGAGACTGCGTATATAGAACAGGAGATGACCAGAGACTGCGGATATAGTACAGGAGATGACCAGAGACTGCGGACAGTACAGGAGATGACCAGAGACTGCGGACATACTACAGGAGATGACCAGAGACTGCAGACACAGTACAGGAGATGACCAGAGACTGCGGGCACAGTACAGGAGATGACCAGAGACTGCGGACATAGGACAGGAGATGACCAGAGACTGCGGACATAGTACAGGAGATGACCAGAGACTGCGGACACAGTACAGGAGATGACCAGAGACTGCAGACACAGTACAGGAGATGACCACAGACTGCGGACACAGTACAGGAGATGACCAGAGACTGCGAACAGTACAGGGGATGACCAGAGACTGAGGACAGTATACAGGGGATGACCAAGAGACTGCAGACAGTATAGGAGATGACCAAGAGACTGCGGATAATACAGGGGATGACCAGAGACTGCGGACAGTACAGGGGATGACCAAAGACTGCGGACAGTGCAGGGAATGACCAAGAGACTGCGGACAGTACAGGGGATGACCAAGAGACTGCGGACAGTGCAGGGGATGACCAGAGACTGCAAACAGTGCAGGGGATTACCAGAGACTGCGGACAGTGCAGGGGATGACCAGAGACTGCGAACAGTGCAGGAGATGACAAGAGACTGCTGACCTTTTGGAGAGGGAGGGGGAGTGGGTACCTGAATTTGACAGGTACCCGCTCCCACTTCCGTGGAGTTGTCCTCCCTTTAGTGTGGACACCCGGCTGTCGGCCGGGTGCCCAGTGCGCATGCGCGAGAAGCACTGCGCTTTGTGATTGGTCCGGCGTCTACTGGGACCTGCCATGTGTCCCAGAAGACGCTATACCATTCACAAAGTGCAGCGCTTCTCGTGCATGCACACTGGGCACCCGGCTGTCGCAGTAGAGAGCCCACACTAAAGAAGCCGGAAGCAGGAAGACTGCGCAGCATTGGACCAAGGAACAGGTAAGATCGTGCTGCAGAAAAGAGCTGAGCGGCCGGCCCGGTATTCTGACACGGCGGCGGTGGAAATACCGGATTGGCCGCTCCATATTCGCTCGATAGGACGCACTGACATTTTCCCCCTTTTTTTTGGGGGGGGGGGGAAAGTGCGTCTTATGGAGCGAAAAACACGCCACCTTTTCTCATCAGCATTATATAGCAGCTTTGTGACTTCTATCAGTGTCCAGCTGAGCACTGGTTAAAACTTGTAGGAGTTTTCATTCTGCTCTGACTGTCCTATAAGGCTGTACAGCACTGATTGGCCCTGTGCTGATCACATGCACCCTCCCAAAGCAAAGAAAAAAACTCTCTAGCAATACTAACTAAACTGAGCATGTGCATAGTGACTCCTAGAGCTCTGTACTATCAGCATATGGATTGAGGGACAGTGGAAGAAGAGGAAGGATCAGAGAAGACAGGATCAAACAGGATCAAAGCGCTGCACCTTTTTAGTTATTTATGTTTTTGAAGGTTTTTGTTACTGGTTGCCTTTGGTGTTCTAGCTGCTTTTATAGAGAGCGCTCGCTTCTTCTTTTATTATTTGCATCTTAAACTAGGAACAACCATTTAACATGTTCTTGGATCTTGTGACTGCATTAGTTTCCTTTTTTATTTTTTTCCCCTTTATTTCCTGTCCTAGAGTGACAATGCCCATTTCTTGTACCCCTAGGGCAGCAAGAATGCGGGGACTACAGAATACCTCTCTCTCAATCCCATTATCTAAGGGGATGTGTGCTCTAGTCCTAACACATTTACAGATAACAATGCAAAGTGCACAGGACAGCACTGGATATTTACAGATACTTTTTGCATTTATTAAATAGATACAGTATCTCAAAGAAGTGAGTACACCCCTCACATTTTTGTAAATATTTTATTATATCTTTTCATGTGACAACACTGAAGAAATGACACTTTGCTACAATGTAAAGTAGTGAGTGTACAGCTTGTATAACAGTGTAAATTTGCTGTCCCCTCAAAATAACTCAACACACAGCCATTAATGTCTAAACCGCTGGCAACAAAAGTGAGTACACCCCTAAGTGAAAATGTCCAAATTGGGCCCAATTTTCCCTCCCCGGTGTCATGGGACTCGTTAGTGTTACAAGGTCTCAGGTGTGAATGGGGAGCAGGTGTGTTAAAATTTGGTTTTATCGCTCTTAGGCTACATTCACACTAGCGTTGTGTGCAGGCGGCAGAGAGGAATTTGGGAAGCGTTTTTACCGCTTCCCAAACGCCTCTGCCAATTCTGCACATTACAGTGCATGGTGCTGTTCTAACAGGAGCGTTTGCATCACGTCGCGGCAAAACGGACGCTTCTGGTCGAGTCAGGTGTTGAAGCCTCCTATTCTAGTCTATGGTGCCGCTCCGCAAACGCCCGGCCGGCGTTTGCGGTGCGGTTGCGACGCGGTTGCGGGGCGTTTGCGGAGCGGTAACACCATTCAAATGGCATTGTAGGCGTTTGTGGGGCGTTTTTAACGCTTGGCAAACGCCTAGCAACCACCGCTAAACCGCGCATGCGGCGTTTGCCGAGCATTAAAAAACGCTCCGCAAACGCCGGACCAACGCTTGCCAAACGCCCCAGCCAAGTGTGAACGACCCCTAACTCTCTCATACTGGTGACTGGAAGTTCAACATGGCACCTCATAGAATGCATAAAGGTAAAAAACCTTAAGACTTTGCAACCACTTTTATGAAACTCTGGTCACCAGAACTTGTCCCCAAAGATTACCTCTCTATTTCTGTTCTGGTGACAGCTAAAAATATGGAATTTTATTTTATTTTTAGTGATAACGGTTAACAGGACAAAAAAAAAGAGGTGACTCTTCCTAATAGAGACACAGGCAGCAAAAAAACCTAAAAAGGTGTTCTAATCCATCTCCATACAACTAAATATTAAGTTTTGACTTGAGTTATACTTTAATGACAATGGAAACGGAACAGCCATTTTATTAAAATTACATTACTAGATAACTTGTGCAAGAATTATACTTTTTATCATTTTTTGTGATGGTTCTTCTTTCATGTTAAATATTTACCCCAATAATGACTGTTTTTTATGAGGCAAAATATAATAAAACAGGCTGAATACTTCAATCTAAATGCCATATTAAATAATTTCCTTTGAAATCAATTTAATGAAAAAAAGACCACAGGAAAAAAAAAAAAAAATATATTATATATATATATATATATATATATATATATATATATATATATATATATATATATATATGGAAATTGATAACTAGCAATTCACCATGCATTATGATAAATGATTTCAAATATTTGTGGTTAAAAAAGGCAAAAATATTGCTAAAGTGATACTTTTAACCACTAATTAGGAAAGTAAAACAGGGTGATTAAAATGCCTGTAGCAAAAAGACATAATCGTCCAAAAACTTGAATTTTAAAACTTTTTTCTAGTTAACCATAAAAGTATAACCTTAAACTACTTTTGCATTGTTTAACATTTGCATAAATTACATTATGTATTTGCTCTCCATTATTATTGTATAATATTAAGTTGCACATGGTAACCCTATACATTTTTATTTTGTACATATATGCAAAAAACCCCCACAAAACAAAATATTAATAATAATACTTTTAAAATAATGATCAATAAACAAACAAACGGATAACATCTGCAATATTTTTGTGCTGGAAATCTTACTTCTAGTTACCTCTGAATTGGACATTGAAAATACACCCTGACATTGATGTCAAAGGAAAACAGCTAGGACAACCAACAAAAAAAAAGACACATACCAATGCTGATCAGAGTGTCTAAAGAGAAGCACGCAGCTAAGTACTCAACCCTTCAAATACCACTGAACTTAAAAGATGATCAAACATCTGCACGGGATGAATGAGCCCCATGGACCAGAAGTGATGCAATAAGGACAAATTACCTGCTTATTGGAAGGAGGTGTTGGCCCTGAAGATTCATTTGTGTACAGTTGCAGAGATTACAGACTGCCTATGCTGTTGCCTGTCAGGAGTGTGTCACAGTCACTGGAGCTGTAACTTTATTTCTCCTCTTTACATCTAGAGAGGAAGTGTTGCTGGTAACAGGAAGGAAGTTTTAACCACATTGATTATTCATTTGATTACATATTTAGAAAAGCTACCGACTACTTCCCCTGGCTACAGCATAGACTAGATCAGATATATCATCAAAAACTATGTTTGTACAATTCATGCAATTGTATAATAAGCTGTAGAAAATAGTGCTATGTATGTCTATCAATGATGAATAGTGATGTCATTTCTAACATTTATTAGGTAGTCATGTTACCTTAATAAATGATATCTAGAACAACAAAAGAGGTCAGTTATGTTTCTTAACAAAAATGGCAACTGTGCTAATTTATAATTAGCTTTTAGAGTAAGGTTCATTTCACATGGGCAGATTCCACCAAGCGGATCAGCCTGTTCAATGAGGGATCTCTCCGCTGATCCCTGCTGAGCAGGTGGATGACAGGTTTGTGCCACAACACGCTGTTCTCTATGGGGAGGTCGGATGTAAACGGACCGCCTGTCGGTTTACATCTGACTGTCCTCCGATCTGCTAGACAGACGTCTGGCACATTTTGCTGGCTGAAGCTAAAAAGAGTGGGAAATTTGAGTGGAGAGTGAAAAACAGTTTTTCTTTTGTCTACTGGTGATTGCTGGTGCTTGTAGTTGTTTTACTTTCTTCTTTGGGGTCTTGCTAACAGCTTTCACTTTTTTTAATCACTTTTTCTGTTACTTTTTAAATAGCATTTTTTTTCCTTTCCTTCCTTCAGTCTGCTGATTAAGGGGTCACAGGTGCTTCATATAACTTTCTGTAGAGCTCACTCTGAGCTTGCTCATTCTTGAGTTTGCCTGTATTTTGCTTGCTGGACCTATTCACTAAGTGGACATTTGATTATGTGGAGTTAAAAAACCAGAGTTGAAAACAGGAGATTATAACAGGAGTCTACTAACCTGTAAGTGACAACTGATATTTCCTGTTAATATTGTAACTGGAATAATGAGTGCTAGCAGGGTTGAAGGTTTTGTGCAGTGCACAATGTGCTGCATGTATGCAACAATGGAGCAACAGCTCCAGGATGGCTACCGCTGCAATAGATGTGAGCGGGTTGCCCTTCTGGAAGCTCATGTTAGAGATCTAGAGGATCAAGTTGCAACACTGGGCAGAACAGTCAACCTTGAAAGGGGTCTTATGCTCTCTGAGCAGGTAGCTAATGGGATTGATGTGGAGGGTGGAGGGGCTAGTCAGGATTATCAGGTAGGAAGATGGGTTACTGTAACGAGAGGGAGTGGTAGGGCAGAAGAGAAAGGCCAGCCCTGGGTTTGTGCACCCAAACAGATTTGACAAGGTGGGTGAAGATGGGGGGGGGGGGTGGCAAGTTCAGGAGTGGCAGCTCTGGATGTCGCTACTATCCCTAACAGCTGGGAACGCAGACCATCTGGGAGGGGTGGTGAGGGTAGTGCAGGAAGGCCTAGACAGTTGGTGGTAATAGGGGATTCTATAATCAAAAGGACTGATAGAATAATTTGTCACCAGGATTGCCTCAACCAAACGGTTTGTTGTCTCCCTGGTGCCAGGGTTTGGCATGTGGTGGACCGGGTTGATAAATTACTGGGAGGGGCTAGGCATGACCTAGCTGTCTTGGTCCATGTTGGAACCAATGCCATAGTACATGGAAGGTGGGGGCTCCTTAAGAATCAATTTAAAGAACTAGGCAGCAAGTTGAAGGGAAGGACCTCCATGGTGATATTCTTGTGCCATGCGCAACTCAGGAAAGACAGGGGGAGATTAGAGAACTCAATGCATGGCTGAAGACCTGGTGTAAGAGAGAAAGATCTGGGTTTCTAGAGCACTGGGGTGACTTTTCATTGGGGTGCAACCTATATGCTAGAGATGGTTTGCACCTAAATGGAAGGGGGTC